TAAGGTAATAATAATATTAAAAAATATATAAAGTAAAAGGAGACGGATTGTTTGTCTAATGCTGTTATGACATCCAGATGTCAGCTCTAAAGCTGGCTCATTGCTTGAAGTATCTAGGTCTTTGAAATACTGCTCAAGCCAGGTTTTTCCTCCACAGGACAAATTCCTAACTTTCCACTCCCATATTCAGACTCTGCAGTCCAAGAGCTGTCAGATCCCTTGCTTTAGAGTCCTGGGCCTGATGCTTTCCTTCAAGGCCGTTGTGTATGTCCAATAAACTACAGACCATTGCTACTCAACGTTCTGGCCACATAGGACAAAAAAGACGCATTTCCTAGACAATCGCATTGTCTGATGAAAAAGACCAGGTTATCCCTGGCCTGGTGGCTCATGATTTCAGCCCTGGAGTCAAGGAAATACTTACTTTCACTGGTCTTGAAGTTTCTCACGATGGATGCCAGTGTGACAGGTTGGGAGGAGTCCTGGAAACTCTTTTGCTGCAGGGAACTTGGTTGCCATAGGAAACTCGCCCCCCGATTAACTTACCGGAGATCCGAATGATTTGGTTATCCCTTTTGATCTGAACCTCTTGATTGCGAGGTCATCTGATTGGAATTCAATTTGATAATGCTACTGCAATGGCGTACGTGAACCATCAGGAAGGAATCAGAAGTCTCACAGCTCAAATATAAGCTGACTTGATCCTGCCTTTGATGGAACATTATGCCCCAGCTCTGTCTTCCATGCAAATTCCAGGTGTGGAAAATTGATAAACTTTTTCAGTCAACAACATCTGCACTCAGTGATAGTCTCTTCATTCGGAGGTGTCTCTAGACCTCTGTCACAGGTGGGTAATGGCGGACATGGACCTTCTGGTGTCCAGATTGAGCAACAAATTGATCAAGTTTTTCTGCCGGTCCAGGGATCTTCTAGCCCAGTGGTTCTCAACCTGTGGTCCCCTCTCCGCTGTCAGAATGCGGAAGTGGTGTATATTACATCACTTCCGCATTCTCGTGTCACTCTCCAGCTTCAGATGCTGGAGAGGAGCTGATGAAGCAGATCTCTGCTTCATCAGCTTCTTCAGGGGGGTCCTAGGTGACATTAGGGGTCTTGGAGACCCCTGATATCTCCATAAAGAGGACCTGTCACCTCTTTTGCTATCACATAAGGGGGTTTCTCAGCCAGTTTATTGTGATAGCAATAAAGTTAACTGGAAAAAAAAATAGTAAAAAAATTTAAAGTTTCCCCCCAAATTTGTTTAAGTTACACAAAAAATAATTTCAAAAAATAAAATTTTTTTTAAAGTCCCCACCCCTACATACACGCATGTAAACATGCGTCAGGTGCGCATACCTGCGAAAACGACGATTGCGCCCATTACGCCGCACATGTTACATATCGCCGCGAACGTCGGAATGAGAGCAATAGCTCTAGGGCCATCAATCACTGATGACACTAAACTAATGAGCGGTAAAAGCTTTTAAAGCGTCGCCTATGGCCAATTTTGGGTATGCTAGTTTTTTGCGAGTGCGCGCAATTTTTAAGCTTGACATGTTTGGTGTCTATTTACCCGACGTGACCCCGTCTTTTATATTTTACCAAAAAAGTGGGTAATATTAGTTGTTTTATA